TCTTCTCCAGTCAGGCTGCGACTGGAGATGACTTCATATTTTGGTGTACATGAAGGTGATGGGCGAGGGCCAGCTCCTGCTTATCGAGGAACATCTTGGGTATCTTCCGCCCTGGTACTCGTATCCACGTCTTCTCTCTGGGCTGCGAAAACTTTGCTGATATGTGACTCGGTCGAAGTGACTTTTTTTGCCCCCCCCTGTATGTGTCAACCTTAGCGGTTGGTGGCCTGCCGCCAACGGGAAGCTCGGCCGAAACTGCTTTCTTGTGAGTCGGGTAGAAAAAGGCTTCTCTGCAGGTTATGACGGTTTTCCTTCACTTTTTCGCCATTTTCTCACTATATGGCACCCCTGCTACCAGACTGAGTAGCAAATTATCGTGCAATATTCCTTTAACAGCTAGAAAAGATTCCAGAAAAAGCTTACCAGTAATGGAAACCGCTGTTCCATTCGTTGTAATGGATCAAACAAGATCCAACACACTATTATAACTAGATCTATGAAGAAAAATGCTGCGATGACCGTGTAAAATCGTCCCGAAGGAATAGGCTAAAAAAACATGTTTGAACGACCGTGACTCACACAACTTTTTCACTACAGTAGGGAAAACTCGTGCAGTGTTGCAAACCGGATGCTGTTGGCATGCTTGTCACGCTGTAAGTGAAACATGAATAGTGAACACGCATGCAAAAGACGTGGTACAGAAAACGTGATAACGTGGTACAGTGCACGGGAAAAGAGGGAAAGAAGGAAGAAGTACATGCGATAAAGGAGAGGAAGGAAAATGACATAGGGGGAAAAGGAAACGCGAGCTCCACGGCATAGTCCACACTGGATAGGGGGCGGGGAAACGTCGCTAGCGTCATTGGTGGAAGGCAATTGGGCCACATCAAGAGGCATGCTACAAGACAATCGTGTTTCGCTGCGCTGGTGAGCGTCGCGCGCGATGTCGCGCCCATGTGCTACGATGTTTTTGAATCATAGATAGAGATTATAGACAATGTGTAGCAAAAAATAGTCATAAATGTCCACGATGCGTAGTCTATATGAAATTTATTAGTTTATCGACGGGGGGGGGCATTTTGCTTTCCATAGATGTGTCGACCCATCTAGGTAGCGTTTTCTCGAGTTGACACGTTTTTGGGCTAGACGATCCTGCTCCAGCTTTACGAGATTTCACAAGTTTTACTGAATGGACGATTTCAGCAAAAACGCGGAACGAAAGGAGCCGTCGCATAGTACAAAATGCCCCCCCCTCCTCCGGGCAGTTGATTGGGCGGCCGAAGGGTCGCAGACGCAAGGGCAGCAGAGACCGCGTAATTAGGAACTGTTGGCGGCGAACAGCTGTTTCCGGACCGCCTAGGTCACTTTCTCCCTATTTTTCACTTTCTATCACTGTTTGGAAAATACAGCGAAAATAAGAGAAATGGCTAAACACAAGGATGGCAAACTACGCTGACCGCCGACTGTTCCTACGGGACGCGGTCGCTGACTGCAACTGCATCGTGCAACGTCGTCGACGCCTATCAACTGCCCGGACGGACTTTCAGCGAAAACGACGCGCGCGACCTGAGTAGGCAAATTACGATTGTCTTGACCGCCTCCCCACCAAATGACGCACTAGCGAATACCTTACACCAATGACGCTGACAGAAGTTCCGCCGCCTTCTATCCGCCGTCGACTATGTCTTTCAACATAGGTAGAACGCAATCATTGACGAGGTACTCTCATCGGCCTCATGGACAGCACTATAGCTCAAGAGTAACGCTGACAGAAGACGTATTCAGAGACACTCCAGAAGCACAACAACGCACCGCGAACCACCCTAATCCGGGTCGTCCAGTGTACAGCATTTGAACGGTATGTGCGGAACACAGGGGAAGTAAGCTCATTTGTAGCTAAGTTGGGCGCTCTGACGACGATCTGGGCGTCTTAGTAGTTATGGTGCGCCGACGGGCGCGCCGGGACCTGTGATGGGATAGACTCGATTGGAGAGCTGTGATCTACGTCTTGAACGGCTAGACGTGCCATTAAGCATTACCTGGACACTTGCGGTACAGTTGCCATGCTGCCAATACGCTTGAGCACGCGCGCGACGTCGACCACACGGACTGCGATCAGCATCGCTCCATACTTTCCCATGCCGCGAACCATACCTCCCTACAATAACCCCGGTAGGTACAACACTGCGACGAACCTCCGACCCACTACCAATACATCTGACAAAAATCAGACCTGCATCATCACCATGTACTGATAGGAATAGGATGTGTATACTGAGGGTAATGCATGTCTATGCTGAGGTAAGGTAGAGCATAATATCACATAGGTACAAGTGATCGCGCTATGTCGTGCTTGTGTGTGGTATGAGGGAAACACAATAAGCGGATGATTGATCACGAATCGTGCGCCATCGTGAACGATCATATCATAAGCACGAAATTGGCGTAGGAAAGAATATAAGGAATGAAACGATGATTTCACGGAGGGAAAATGATGTTCGATGATAATGTCACAAGGAAGGATAAGTGATATACGTCAGAACAGAACAACTCCATAGGAAATCCGCAAAAAGTTTTGATTCAAATAATCTCGTAAGATGATAGAATATTCACATACCCGAGGTTTGATACTTTCGAAATTTTCTCAGCAATTAGATGCTATAATCGAGCGGGAGCTATATTATCCTCTTCAAAAACGACGTCTTGACGTCAAAGACACAATTTCGGCTGATCATATGGGTGAGGCAAAAAACTGCCTGAGAACCCACACGCAGCCCATGATTATCGTATAGGTGCGGCTAGTCTGTTAATCCCACCCTTCACCCTTCCTTGAAGACGAACTGTATGGTCACATCCGAAAACGGCCCTTGCAATGTGCGAAGCGGATTGGTGCTATTAGCGTGCCACTTTCCCCGCTCAAAAGTGCACCGGAACGGGGCTGGACGGTGCTGATATCTGGGTGCCGTCTCGCAACTCCTACTTGCGCTATCCTCAAGGTACAGCCACCTCTTGCGTTGATAGCAAAACCTCGCAGCGGACAAGCAGTTAGAGGTAGAGAAAGCGAGAGGGTGAAGACAAGTAGTGCGTTTGGCTACGGTGGGCGGTGCAGTCGAGCGGAGTCAAGAAACGGCAATTGGGTGAGGGCGCGTCCTGTCAAGGGAGGATGTCTG